AAACATTTCATTAACAAACAGTGTCGTTTAATAAAACTAAGGATAGATAGATCTAGTAATATTGATCCATAAAATTAAAGTAAGATGGTGCAACCCAGCCTTAGAATCCCATTGCCAGTTATATCAGTTATACACATAAATCATAATAACTATGAAAATTAAATTCTAAATGACGGCTCGTAAACGAATCAACCCAGTGTTTTGTTTGTCCTTTACTAATTTTGTCATACTGCACACAATAAGTTTTCCTTTTCAAAGCTCACAAACCGGCAATCAACAAAAAGCTCAAGCTTCTATATTAACCAATAAATGACAGTTGATCAAATTACAGACAAACGTCAGTTAACTGCTCATTCGCTGTACAATTTATCAGCGCTGCTAAGTAATGACTGTGAAAAACGAAATTGTAGTCTTTTGCTTGTTTTGTGGTCAAAGGGAGTGCATATTCAGCTTAAACTTTGCACATTTTTTTATTACTAACATGTGGTTTACTTACTTACAATTAATTTGCTTGACAGATGGCGTAGTGTCGTGAATTCTTTGGACGCAGGTTTTGGTTGGTTTCTTCGACTGACCAAATCCAAGATAAATATCTTCCCTATAGTAAATTATCTATAGTGTCAGACGAAATATCGAGATATTTTTTTATGCATAAACAAGGCAGATATTTGACTACAATCGTACCTGATGATAAATGCGATGCAGTCTAGGATGGCACATATTCTGCCCTGTAAGTGCCTATTCACTCTCGCCTTGAAAAGGCCCGGATTAAAGTCTTTGGGAAAGATAGCAGCAGGCAGTGAATTCCAGTCCCTAGCTGTTCGCATTATAAAAGAGTCATCGATTAAGAAACAACATAATTATAGAAACACCTAAATAAGTTTCCTAAGTAAGAGAAGATAAGCAAAAGATCCCTCGATGAACTCTACATTTATTTCAGCTAATAAGTACTCATTATTATACAATGCTAAAACCAAGCCCCAATCCAAAGTATTTTAACAAAAATAAACGCATAAAAGATTAGATAGAACTTGACTCTGCCCTAAGTAATTTTCTTTCAGCAACGACAATCTTAATTATTGTTTACTCAATTCATACTACTTAAGTAATTTGAACTAAATAAATTACTTTTCTTGCATTCTTTCTTTCTAAAATAAGTAGGTATCTTTGAACAGATAAACAATAATAAGTTGTACTAACCACAAGTTATTATGAACGATTCGCAAAACACCGCGGTTGGTTTACAACTCGTATCATTTAATTATTATTCATTAGTAGTTAATGATATGCACGCCTCTGTCTTTATTCGTAACTAGCTGGCCTGTTGCCCGCGGTTTTAAAGTTTTGCTCGAGTGATGCCCCATTTTCACTTGAAGATGAAATTTCTGTAAACTTATGACCTAGTTTAAAAAAGTCAGGACAAACTAATTGCATTTTTTAACTTTAATTTAAATTAATTTATCAGTGAGTTATTTTATTGGCTCACGTAGAACTCTACATTTATTTGCTCGAAATAGCGACATCTAGTGGGTAGTAGCTATACTAAAATTACATCTGCTTAAACAGCGCCATCTTTTGGTGAGTAGTTTTATTAGAGCTTACACGTAATTCACGGCATGAATAATAGATGGCAGCACTGAAGTGCTTTTTTTATTTAATTTCGTTTCTAACTTATAGATGGCGTTAAATTCCAATTTTTGAATTATTTTCAATAAAATTGACTGGAAAGTATTCAAAAAAATCCTCCTGGTCCCGCCAGATATTTCCTAAAATTACCTCTTTCCATAACCTAAATAAAAAAAAATGATTTTCCAGCGCCTAAGAGCTATTGTTTTTTTGTTTGCTTCTGTATACATTTTTGGGTAATAATTGAGTAAATAAATGAAAAACAATATGCTGTGTAACATAAAATATTTAATATATTCCTTAACGCAATAATTATCCTAAGGTATATTACCTAGCTATATGCCCATCGCCAGCGCCATTTAATACATAGATTGCACATACATTACGATTTATAATAACAAATTCGAGAATATACAATTTTAAGGAATGTTTCAACAAATCTCATAATCATTTCAAACGAAAGAAAAACATAATATGAAGTAACATATTTGTCGTAAAGTTCACAGTAATAAAACGATATAGCTCCAATATCTAGTCGTTCACTATATTTTCAACTATCCATGATTCGTCCGTGGTGCATATACCTACCTTCTGATTAATTTCGTTGCGGGTCCAATGACAGTTTAACTTTCCCCCGGGACAAACTTGACCTTCACTGGTTGGGTTTTTATTGACGGTCAAGCTGTAGATCCTGGCTACACAGGAGCTGCAGCTTTGGGAACGAGAGGTGGGAATAGTCCCGTAAAATCATGATTATAATAGGATCTGGCATACGTCTGGTAGTAGTAATTTAATTTTCGAAATAGTGAACAATATAGAAATCTAGGCCAAAACTTTAAAACGACTTACATGACAAGCTGTTTACACAAATTTAATTTTAATTCATAATTACAATATGGAAGATATTACAATATCGTAGTAATTGAGTGTGAAACTGTACAGTAGAAATTTATTTTACGTTTGTCATTAATGCACATTGAAGTTTGAGGGCATAGTGTGAGTTTACATCAAATGTCCACACTAGTGAGCGCGTAAAAAATTACATTAAATGTAGTGACCGACCGAATATTCGTTTTCGTTTTCGGCCATTTTCGGCCAAAAAATGGACATTCGGCCATATTTTCGTTTTCGGCCAAAAACCAGCCGAAGCTTCGGCCAAACCGAATATCAAAAATACGTGAATAAGATGGTGACGTTTATCATTCCGATATCTTCGGGAGTGAATCTGGTGCACTCATGGTTCCAATCAGACTTGAACGGACGCGGTATTGTCACACTCTTTTGAAGTTGTGAAGTGAGGTTACGTTCTAAAGGGTGTCCAGCGACAATTTTCCAAGTTCAAAATTGAATACAATAAACCCAAAGAGTTTTCAGTAAGTTTAATTGTTTTAAAATAGAGTCTAATGCGGATTTGAAATACGCCATGAGTCACTGGTTGGGAGCCTACAGAGCGTTCGCAGTTGAGCAATAAGTATTTGAAATGTATTGTCGAATGATCGATGAATGTCTGATACCACAACTGCAACTGCATCCCGGTCAACTACGTAACTATTTCAGCAAGAAGGTGTCTCACCACACACGGAGAGTACCTCGATGGAGACACTGAGGACTATTTTCTTTTTTCAAATAAATGATCAGCAAGTACAGCAGGGACATACCCTAGCCGCCTCGGTCACCAGATCTCACACCATGCGACTTTTTCTTGGGGGATATCTCAAGTCATAAGTTTACAGCAAACAATTCTTAAATAATTCAGGTTCTGTAAGAAAATATCCGCCGTGAAGTTGCAACAAAATTATTAGCGCGATTTGCTCTCGCATAGTTGCGAATGTAAGGGTCCGGCTGTGAGAGTGCCTATAGTAAAACGGGCATCATTTAAAAGACATTGCCTATAAAAAATTAAATCCACAATTGTTAAACTCCAGTTTGCATTAGTAATAATTAATAAAAAATCATTAATTTATTTTTATTCATTTTTGAAGTTGAAAAATTCCCACTGGACACCCTTTATTTCTTCTTCACTTCCCAATATTTTAATATACATATACCGGAAATAATATTCTACTAAGAATTCATGATTAATTTTTTTTTGTTTTAATGCCGGTTTTCTATAATCAATCTATCAAAATCAACTGTCAAACGTCATTATGTTTTTGGTCAAAACATAAACGGTTTTCAAAGTTTTTACATTAATTTCAGATTGAAATTTGAGAGTTGAAGGTCATTTTCGTTTTCGTTTTCGTTTTCGGCCGAAAATGAGACTGCAGCCGAAGCTTCGTTTTCGTTTCCGTTTTCGGCTGAAAATCCATATTCGGTCGGACACTAATTAAATGTATGACGGGTTGTACAGCGCCCCTAGTGGAAACTTTCAAGAACTAAAATTTTCATATATTTTTTTAACGCGCTCGCTAGCGAGGACTTTTGATGTAAACTCACACTACGCTCTCTGTATCCTAAAACGATGTTCAAATATGAATCAACACTGTGACTGGTCTAAATATTGAAACATAGTACCTAATTGACATGTACCTCTAGCATGAACAACTTTCGTCTTCGAATCGTTTGCGTATTCGACAAAACTCTATACTCAACCTTCGAATTAAACGATAATGTGGCAATTTTGATTCTCAAAATAAGTTTCGTGCGACCATTTCTCATACTAAGTTCACTTTACGACACGTTCACAAGGGCGCAGTTGTAGTTTTCGTACTAAATCTTTTGATGGCGATACGAATACGAAAACGATTCGAACTCGAAAGTTTTTCGTGCTAGCCGTAATGAAAAAGTGACGTGATCTTATTTTTGTCATACAAAATCTATGACAGTCGAGTTTTGACAGCTCTTATGTCAATTGACTAATATGTCAAATACATGAATAAATAAATAACTTTATTTAACCAATCACAGACAACAATCTACGGTCGCGTTTAAACATCGCTTTAGAATAAAAATTTACAGGTGTAGCGCTTAACTCAATACTCATAAATCTTTTCTATAAGTATAAGAATAGGACAGTATTGAGATTTAAAATTCACCTATACTGTATGGCCCAGAACACGGTGAAACGCAACTGCAACGAAACTGCAACTGCTAGTTACTTTTGAGTTGCATCTAAGTTTCTGCCATAGCGTCCGTTGAGAGACCACACATGACGCGACCAGTTTGAAACTTTCAGTTTCAGTTTCATTCATCAGAATCATCACAAAGTTGCAGTTTCGTTGCAGTTGCGTTTCACCGTCTGTTCTGGGCCTATAAGCTATATTTTAACAATGTCCTTTACAAACAATATTCCCCGTCCAATATTCTCGCCAATCTTGTATACCATCCTAAAAGCCTTTACCCTGTTTTTTCTTTTTCTTTTTTTTCTTTTTAACATCCGTATAATCGTACTCCACTGTACTCCCACTTAAATCTTGATACCCATCTGCTTTGGAACTTTCATAATCTGGAAAACTGATGCCTTCGGTTTGTTGGTAATTTTCCGAGAACGTTTCGGAAAATTTCGTGCTCAAAGTTTCAGATCCGAAGAACTTGTTTGCGAAGTTTTCTGTGGGTTTGTGTAGGTTTTGGTATTTTTCGTTTTGAGGGTAGATCGAGTTTAGGATGTTGGTCGCTATGGCAACGGGCGTTGGAGGGTAACCGCCCTGGGTGTACGGTCAGAACTTTAGATCCTGGGAAATGAAAATAAACAGTAAATTCTACATATTAGGTACTTTTTATACTTATGAATATGAAACAATCAACAAGTATAAGATTAGTAATCAAGTGCCAAGTAGGCAATAAAGATTAGTAATTTAATTAATAGTAACTAAGTGTCAAGTACCTACGTATAAAAGTAACCAAGTGCATAACAAGCAGGTAAAATTAAGCAGTGGGTAAAAAATAGTAATATAGTGCCAAGTATATAAAACTTATTAAAAATTGGTGCCAAGTAAGTTCATGGCAAGGAATAAAAAAATAAGTAACTTAGTAAATAACTTAGTGACAAGTCGCTAAAAAATAAGTAACTTAGAGACCACTAGACAACAAAGTTTAATAACATAATGCCAAGTAGATAAAAGATTACTAATCATTTATTGTCAAGTAGATAACTTAGTGTCAAGTTGGTGAAAATAAATAATTTATTGATCAGTGGGTAAAAAAATATCCTCAAATTGCTGTGCCCGATCTATACAGTCTTATATTATTTTTGAAGACCTTATGTAACTCATAAAGGTAGCAGGAAGGCGCTGGATGCAGGCCGCTACCAACCGGGCGATGTGGAAGTCATTGGAGGCCAGCGTTGCCAGACGTCCCGATTTTGGCGGGACGTCCCGATTTTTAAATCAAATTTAAATGTCCCGCGCGGGACAGGCTTGGTCCCGCTTTTCGGAGAGAGACACTCACTTCACCAGACTATTGTTTGAAACGCCATATTATTCTAAAGAATATCATTTTTTTTATTTCGATTTGCTTTTTTTGTTTTTTTTTTTATTCTAAAGACGAATTTAACGATAGAATAAAGCTGATTTTAAATTTTTTTTTTGTTAAAATACATTTTCTATGGCTACTTTTGCTATTGTCACGTAAACGTAATTTTAAGTCAAATAAAAAGAGAAATATTTGAAAACCTTTGATTGTATATGTTTTTTTACTACCTATGTCCCGCTTCTGACGGAAGAATCCCGCTATTTTCACTCAAAAAGTATCAAAGTCCCGACTTGGCGAAAAAAAAACCTGGCAACGCTGTTGGAGGCCTATGTTCAGCAGTGGACGTCCTGTGGCTGAAATGATGATTATGAAAAGAATATTACCTTGATAGCCTGCGGCAAGTCCGGCAGACGCATGTCTCGCAACTGCTGAGGCAAGTTCATCGACTTGACTGCTGATACCGCACGCGCAGGCGCCGCTGATATACCAGCCTGGAGACAACCATACTGTGTTAATATATTATAAAACACAATACGAAAGGATAAAAAGAAAGAACACAGCTAGAGACTGGAATTCGTTGCCAGCTGCTGTCTTTCCTGAACACTATAATCCGGGCCTTTTTCAAGGCGAGAGTGAACAGGCACTTACAGGGCAGATATGTACCATCATAACACCAGGTGCGATTGCGGTCAACACCTGCCTTGTCAAGCATTAAAAAAAAGAAACGTTTATAACAATGGACATCACACAAATACAGACAATTACATAATATAAACACAATAGTGGCACATAGGTTTATTTATGAAAGAAAAACAAGAGTGAACTGAGTAGTACCGCAATAACGATCCCCAGAACAGAACGCCACTCGGCATAGTAATATGGCATGGCTGTAAAGGGTTACATGGCTATACCAAGATTCTTGGCTAGGGAGGGCATTCTTAATTTCTTAACTCTTAACTCCTCCTATGTTCTTCTGATTAATTTTGTTGCGGGTCCAATGACAGTTTAACTTTCCCCCGGGACAAACTTGACCTTCATTGGTTGGGTTTTTGTGGCGGTCAAGCTGTAGATCCTGGCTACACAGGAGTTGCAGTGGTGGGAACGAGAGGTAGGAATAGTCCCGAAACATAAGTGTAGTTTTTTTTTATCATCCACAATGAGGAAACTCTTGGCCTGTATCTCACATCTGTGACGCATGTAGGAAAGAAGTTATCTTCAAGGCGGTCTTTAACTTACTGGAGGCGCTGGGCATTCAAAGAAGCTCTTAAAGTTTAATCATGGAACTTTTTAAAGATCACGTTAAATTGTTCACAGGTTACTGGTAAGTATTCGAAGATTACTGTGTAACTTGTATCAAGGGATCCCCGATCGTGGGGCCCTAATCACGTGCCCAGATTACCCAATGGGAAAGAATCCTTGTCGGATAACGTCTCACCTCGGCCTTCTGCATGTTGTCCTGCTCGGCGAGCCGGCAGAGTATGTCGGCCATGTTGTCTGCAGCGGCCCACTGCAACCCCTGTCTAGGGGACTTATCCCACAACTGAAACCCCTGTCTATGGGACTTATCCCACAACGGAAACCCCTGTCTATGGGACTTATCCCACAACTGAAACCCCTGTCTATGGCACTTATCCCACCACTACTGCAACCCCTGTATATGGGACTTATCCCACCACTGCAACCCCTGTATATGGGACTTATCCCACAACTGAAACCCCTGTCTATGGGACTTATCCCACAACTGAAACACCTGTATATGGGACTTATCCCACAACGGAAACCCCTGTCTATGGGACTTATCCCACAACGTAAACCCCTGTATATGGGACTTATCCCACAACTGAAACCCCTGTCTATGGGACTTATCCCACAACTGAAACACCTGTATATGGGACTTATCCCACAACGGAAACCCCTGTCTATGGGACTTATCCCACAACGTAAACCCCTGTCTATGGGACTTATCCCACAACTGAAACCCCTGTCTATGGGACTTATCCCACAACGTAAACCCCTGTCTATGGGACTTATCCCACAACTGAAACCCCTGTATATGGGACTTATCCCACAACGGAAACCCCTGTCTATGGGACATATCCCACAACGTAAACCCCTGTCCATGGGACTTATCCCACCACGGCAACTTCTGTACAGCCAGGGTCTTCGGACAGCAGTTGTAGTCTCACCTCAGCCTTCTGCATCTTGTTCTGCTCTGCATTGTACTTTCTTACTCAGGATCTTTGGACAGCTGTAGCGTCTCCTTTACAGACAGCAGCTGTAGTGTCATAGCAGCTGTATACAGCAGCATTGCGTCTCACCTCGGCTTTCTGCATCTTGTTCTGCTCGGCGAGCCGGCAGAGTATGTCGGCCATGTTGGTCTGCAGTACCATGCCGCCCATCACCAGCTCATCCAACACCTGGTGCGCCGCGTCCGCGTGGAAGATCAGGTCTAACTCGCAGACGTTCTCGAAGCACTTGTCTAGGGTCTCTACAAACACCTAGAAATTAAATAAACCACTAATAAAGCCTCGCGAAACGGATTAAAGCCCGGTATGTGAGCACGTAGAATTTTGTCCAATGACCCCAAGCTACCCATCCTTATCGCTCGCGCGTAATTACATTGCTGTCGCGACCAGGGTTGCCAACTCTACGTATTTTTACGTAGATCTACGTATTTTAAGCCTTCCTTGCAAACCTATGAACTTTAGTCCCAGAATCTACGTATTTTTATCAAATTTGCAAAATAGGCTGAATGGGCATCGTTTCCTTTACTTTCGCGAAAAAGTTCGATCATGGTTCCGATCACGGTTATTTGGCATGTGGCAAAAGTCGGAACTAATGTTATTTTGACATTTCCCCATAGAAAAAATGCTGTACAGCGCCCCCCTGTAAATGTCACTGAAGAGCCTTGATCTGTGGGTCTAGACAAAGTGCACTTTTTGATCGAATCGAAAATCGAATCCGTCAAAACTCCATACAAAAAAAGGAATGTGCCCTTTGTCTAGGACCCACTGTGGGTCTAGACAAAGTGCAAATTATGATCGCAAACCAGTCGAAAAGTGGTCGAAAAGCCCCTTTTTTGTATGGAGTTTTGACAGATTCGATTTTCGATTCGATCAAAAAGTGCGTTTTGTCTAGGGGGGCAGATATGAAATTTGAAATGTGACGTGACGTGACAGTGTGTGTAAATGGTGTAAACCGTCAAACGGTCAAAGTGAATCTTCACTACAAAAATATTTCGAACTAAGATTGTGCTGAGATTTCGAAGGTGTTGTTGTATTTCGATTCGATATTTTTCAACTTCCTTTCTTCTTTCCAACAAATATAATTACGTATAAATTTAATTTGTCTGAAAATGATACACAATAAAAGTGTACTTTACTACTTTTAGGGTAATATAAATTGTCGTTTTATTACTTTTACCTACCCCTACTCTCTTCATTTCACTCATAAAAAAAAGTACGTAGATCTACGTATTTTCTATATGGAAATTGTACCATTTCTACGTAATTTTCTAATCTGTCCTACGACTTTTTGAAAATCCGAGTTGGCAACCCTGGTCGCGACTGTGCGACGGGCGCCCGCAGTGAGTGTGCGAGCGCGACAGCAACATGATTACGCGCGAGCGATAAGGATGGGTAGCTTGAGGTCATTGGACAAAATTCTACGTGCTCGCAGACCAGACTAATAGTAGGTTATCAATATAGCATTAACATCTGCAGTAGTTTAATATTGTGTCGTAGACGTTATTGAAGCACTTGTCTAGGGTCTCCATGAACATCTAGGTAAAGAATATAATATGTACAATACAGCTTTAAGAGAACCAGTGTAACAAGCCCAAGGAGAGTAGGCCAAGTGCCCCTGTTAAACAGCACCATCCTCTGAGACTATACATCATCATCATCATCATCATGTCAGCCATAGGACGTCCACTGCTGAACATAGGCCTCCCCTAATGCTTTCCATGTTGATCGATTGGTAGCGGCCTGCGTCCAGCATTTCCCTGCTACCTTTACGATGTCGTCGGTCCACCTTGTAGGTGGACGTCCCACGCTAGACTATACATAGATAAGTAATATTGATGGCTTGTTTCTCAAAATGCCTGCAAAGTGTTTTTAAATTTAATTTAGTGTCATTTTAGCCAATAGCAGTCCACTGCTAAATATGCCAGGAACATCACAAAGTATGATGTCTGTCAGCCATCTATGTTCTAGAGCAGTGGTTCCCAAACTTATTTTGTCTACTGCCCACTTTGAGAATAAATTATTTTTAGCGCCCCCAGTTGTAGTCGAGTGTCGAGTGCTCAGTCGGTGTCTAAGAGTCCTCCTAGTAAATGACGCCTCCCAAGTCTCTACACAACGTCCCGATTGTTTTTCTGGGTCTCTTACCGCCCCTCTTTAAGCCTGCAGAGCCCCAAGGGGGCGTTATCGCCCACTTCGTGAAAGACTGTTCTAGAGTCTAGAGATTGTCTGTCTTTTAGAGCAGATGCAAAATAATTATAATAATAGAGAATGAAGAAAAACACATGAAAATAATTATAAGTTACAACTGTAAGCATTATGATAAACATTTCAATCATTATGTGCATTTTAGAGAGATAAAATCATTGTATTATAATTATTTAATTAAAACTTACCTGAATTAAGTCTAGAATGCCCAGTTCACTCTCAGAGGAGTCCACGCAGAACACGAAGTAGAGGGTAGCGTAGTGCCTGTAGATCAGCTTGTAGTCTGACCCTCCGATGAGACTGGAAGAATACAGTATTGTTTTTATAACCTGTAAAACCCAAGGGGTTGCAATAAAGACTGCATATTTGTGACAAATTATTTCAATTGTGTCTCAATTCACAGGGCCTAAAGCATGGGGGGGGGGCTGCAAGCAAGCAGCTGTCTTCCCCTGCAGCGTCGGACTGGCCATACAGTCGGGGTGGCATTTGCCAGCCGGGCCCCAGCCTGCGCGGGCCCCCCACGGGCCTGGGTTGCGGGGCATGCGGCAACCGTGGTACAGGGGACCCGCGCAGCGTGGCCCCTGTGCTACGGTTGCCCGCGTGCATGTCTCGGAAACTATGCGTCGTACAAAAAAGTTGTACAGTCATAATTTGTAGAAAATTGCTTTGCCTACAAATATGTTAATATAACTTTTTGCCTTAAATTAAAGATTAAAGAAGTTATAAGCAAAAAAAAAAAATCCTTTTTGCTTATGTATAACTTCTCTAATTTAATTTAGGACAAAAAGTTATGTAAACACAGGGCCGTCTTTAACCTACTAGGGGCCCTGGGCACTTACGGATCAAGGGGGCCCTTGTCATCTAGAAAAAGGTATTTTGAGACGGACAGACGGGGGCCCCCTCCGTCGCGGGGCCCTGAGCACGTGCCTAAAGTGCCCAGTGGGAAAGAGGGCTTTGACCATTTATGTTTCTTTCATGATACCCTGGCCTTCATTGGTTGGATTTTTGGCAGTCAAGCAGTAGATACTCACATAGAATCCTGAACTATAGAACAAAGCTACAATACCGAACGGTGAAGATGTCAGACTGGCCGACTCGGGATCCAAGGAACACTGGTTTGAACCCCGCCACCGCTGGACTATTGTGGGGAAACCACTCGTCACACAAACATAATTTAGCTAAGCGCAACGCTCTCCACGGCATTGATGTTGAGATCAGGTCAACCTGATCTTCTGGCTGTTCCGCAACCACAATTACTTGGCCGACAAGCTGCACGAGCTCAACCCTTGCTGGGGCGACGACAAGCTTTACCAGGTCGCCAGGGACGTGAACATTGCTATGTAGGTACCAGCACATCGTGTATCACGAGCTGATGCCCGCTGTGATCGGTGAGTGGTTGTTGTTTATGGAATATGTTTCTTCCATCAGTAATAATCCCGTCCAGTAATAATAATTATGTTAGTGACCTTGAAAGAGTAACTTACTAGGGGCCCTGGGCACTTAAGGATCAAGGGGGGTCTTATCATCTGGAAAAAGGTCTTTTGAGCAGACGGGGGCCCCTTCCGTCGTGGGGCCCTGGGCACGTGCCCAAAGTGCCCAGTGGGAAATAGGGGCCTGTGTAAACATATTTGTAGGCAAAACAATTTGCTACAAATTATGACATAGCGAATTTTTTGTAAGACGCTTAAAAAAGTGTTTTCACCCCTTTTTTCAAGATGGCGGTTGGGGGACAAGGGTGGCGACCCCAAAAACTTGAGGTTAAGCTTCTATTGACCACATTGACCCACACATGTCCCAAAAATAAAATTGCGTTCTCTAATAAATGCAATACTCGGAAAATTGCCGGAAAATGATGGGAGTTTTATTTTGCTTTTTTTATGTATTACAGTGTTTAATTCTCACAATTTCATTCACGCAAGTGACTTGTGAGAGACGAATTTCAGCATTAAAGCGCATAAAACGAGACTTCGTTCTCTACTGGGGCAAGAACTGTTAGATTCGTTAATTATACAGTGTGAGTCACATGAAATTAGGTGAAACTAGACCTATTTTTATCGACAAAAAAGAGGTCAAAATTTTTTTGAGATTTTTATTTAATTTTTTATATATTTTTTTTCTTAAAATTACTTATTGTAAAGAAAACGTAATATTTAACTTTTAAACTAAGAGGTATATCCTGATAAAATAAAAACAGTAATAATGCTAAATAACAGACTATACTAAAAAAATACTAAGAAAATGCCAACAAATAATAAAAAATGATACTTTTTGAATAAAATCTTCTTATAAATTCGTGTTTTTTTTTTGTTTTCTCCAAAAAATGCTTCTATAACAGGTGGTTTTTATTGCTTTGTATTATTCTCTACTAGCTTTCCGCCCGCGGCTTCGCCCGCATGGAATTTTGTCTGTCACAGAAAAACTTTATCGCGCGCGTCCCTGTTTCAAAAACCGGGATAAAAACTATCCTATGTTCTTTCCCGGGACTCAACCTATCTCTATGCCAAATTTCATCAAAATCGGTTGCGAGGTTTAAGCGGGAAAGCGTAACAGACAGACAGACAGACAGAGTTACTTTCGCATTTATAATATTAGTTGGGATCGTATTACCTTTGTAAAACCAAAAATCGCATGTCTCTATCCCTATCACAACATTGTCTATGATAGTTTGAACAAAGGCCTACCACAACATTATTCTCCGCTACAGGTAGGGACAATTTTAATTTTAACTAAAATGCTTATTTTACTTCGAAATCTTTCGAAATCGCCCGGAGAGGCTTAGTTCAAACGATCATAGCTAATGTTGTGATAGGGATATAGACATGCGATTTTTGGTTTTACAAAGGTAATACCATAGAGAATAATACAAAGTAATAAAAACCACCTGTTATAGGGGCATTTTTTGGAGAAATGGCAATGCCAGATTTTGTATGGTGGCGTCTTTTTTTTTTCNACGAATTTAAGAGCAGATTTTTTTCAAAAAGTATCATTTTTTATTATTTGTTGGCATTTTCTGAGTATTTTATGTATTTTTTTAGTATCGTCTGTTATTTAGCATTATTACTGTTTTTACAGGATATTACCTCTTAGTTTAAAAGTTATTACGTTTTCTTTACAATAAGTAACTAATTGGAAAAAAAAATCTATAACAAATTAAAAAAAATCTCAAAAATTTTTTGACCTGTTTTTTGTCGATATAAATAAAAAGTAAAAAAACTAAAACCCAACTACGACAAAAAACGACGCTAAAAAAGTATAAAACAAGATTTTCAGAATACTGAACTGAACAAAGTTGCTAATGTAGTTGCATAGTAATTTTCATGTTTGGAAAACCGCAGTCACACGTTGTCAAAGTGCTACGGTAGGTAGGTATATGTAACGTGTGACTACGCCTCTCCAAACATGAAAATTACTATGCAACTACATTAGCAACTTTGTTCAGTTCAGTATTCTGAAAATCTTGTTTTATACTTTTTTAGCGTCGTTTTTTGTCGTAGTTGGGTTTTAGTTTTTTTACTTTTTATTTATTATTTGTACCATTTTGGTGTTAATGTGTATTTGTGGCGCATAATATTAACAAAAGTTAAATTGATGATGATAGTAAAGAAGCAATGAACGAAAAGATGTGAATTATATGCAATCAGCCCTTGAATACAGGTAAAGTCACAGGCAAATACTAGTAATATATATATATTCAAAATGTACAAGTAAAGCCCTTTCAAATGATACCAAACACGGCATATTTATCTTAACTTTATTTTTTTACTCTGTATGTTATGTCCGCTAGAGGGCGCCACATTAGAATTATATGCAATCAGCCCTTGAATACAGGTAAAGTCACAGGCAAATGCTAGTAATATATATATATTCAAAATGTACAAGTAAAGCCCTTTCAAATGATACCAAACACGGCATATTTATCTTAACTTTATTTTTTTACTCTGTATGTTATGTCCGCTAGAGGGCGCCACATTAGATTTTGTGAAACCCCATATAGCCTATAACCAGCGGACAATTAAGACGCTTCTAATGATATGTCATTTGTCAAATTCTGATAAGTAGTTTAGAAGTTACGAGGGAACAGATGAACATACATACATACATACATACATAGCCTGTCAAAATCATAACCCTCCTTTGGCTTTGCCGTAGTCGGGTAAAAAATAGATCCAGTTTCACCTAATTTCATATGTGCACTTTATCGTAACTCACACTGTATTAAATATAGAATCGGATCTAATCAAGGATTACGAAAACAGCAGCTTTTACGATCGAGTCATTAACTGCTTAGCTGAAAGTTCTCCTGTTTTAAAAAACATGTTGATTGGCTAGCTTTATATTATTATTTGTTATTAGTAGGTAAATACCTACTTATTATTTTACTTTATTTTAGTATTATAATAAATTTTTTACAGTTTGTTTATCTCAATTTGTGTATCTCAGTATTTTTCGATAGTATCCCATCACCATGATCTAGTCTCGGGCCTCGGGATTGCGATCAGCCACCCGGGCCCTTCCAGCCCAGTCCGACCCTGTTCCCCTGTCCCCCCATGGAAGTCGCTTTGAAGTAACTTAGTCACTGGCCTAAAAAATCTGACCCCCACCTAGGCCAGATTAGGGTACTAAATAAATAGGTACTGGGTACACCTATGGCTTGAAGGCTTCAATACTGATAAGTTTTGAATATGTTGCATTGTAAAAAACATGTTAGGTATTAGTTTAGTATCTATTATTATTATAAAAATGCTAAAATATGTCTTCTAATCCCTATAGCCTGAGGAAAGTTCAAAACTCATTTTACAAATATGGTCGGCCGTTTGGTGTAGTGGTTCAGAACGGACTACTATGCCGAGAGGTCCCGGGTTCGATTCCCGGCCGGGCAGAAATTGAAATGATGAATTTTAATTTCTGTGACGGGTCTGGGTGTTACTATGTATAATATGTATGTATTTAAAAAAAAAGTATATAAGTAGTGTATCCGTCAAGCACCCATAACACAAGCATTAAGTTGCTTACTTTGGGGCTAGCTGGCGCTGTGTGAAATTGTCCAAAGATTTATTATTAAATATTTCTGAGACCAAACTTACAGTTAAAATATTTTTAGTTCTTATTACTATCAGAAATAAAGTCTGCTGTCTCTCTTCAACCAATTAATGAGACTTGTCTTTTGTTTTGTCACCAAATATTGATATTAGAACAATACTAAGTGAAAAATTTAAATCCCAACTTACCTGCCTCCTTCCAAGAAATTGCACACATTGTCGTCGCGCTTGGAGACTAGCTGGAAAGTCTCCTTGATAATTTGCTGCTGCATGTCTTCATTCTGGAATATTTTAGACGATTTTGCATATTTTAGAAGCCCTACAAATGGAAATTTTTACTGCGGGTAGACATCATAATTTTACAACACATGCGAGTTTTAGCAACAAATTTTTATACGTAGGAACTGCACAAAGGCAAGTAGAGATGATTCTGCTGAATAAACTTAGCTATAAATAGATAATTTAGTAAATAAAGAAACTAAATAACTTTCACTCACAAAGTATTGGTAGAATTTCGACAGTCTTGGCTTCCCATGATTGTTAAACACTAATATTGCCTTGATCATTGTGAGAGAGATCAATTTAAGTCTATTCTTACTGTAAAATTGATTTAGCTAATCATTTAAAATGACCGTAAATACAAAATTAACACAAAATGCGACAAAATTCTTATCGATTTTGCCAGTTGTCATTAATTTATGTGTCAAATTTGACAGATCTTAGACTTTATTTTTTTTGCCTTACTTTTAGTGTATGACCAAAATAGGGTTTTGAGCCGAAACCAACGGCCGAAACCATATTTTTGGCCTCGATCTCAGTTTCAGGCAAAAATCATTTTTAGATTTTATAGCTTTTATGACTGTGTTAAATATTATGCACAGTTTTAACCGCAGTTATTCTGATCGAAATAAAATTAAGTAATTTATTTATTGCTTTAACAACTTTGCTGTTTAATAAATGCACGTTATTTTTTGTGGTAAGAGAGAAATTGTTTATAGCCTGACCAGGAACATAAAAACCCTGGCATAGAGGCGCTTCAATTGCATTTGATAGTGCAACACTGAGTACAGTCGTACATGTGTTAAATTAATAGGCTAAATTTATGTATCAGGATTCAGGATTACGGGCTAATTTGATATTTTCATAAATTAACGAAAAATATTATTAAAGGTAACCTGGTTTAAATAAATTAAATGAAACCATCAATCGAGCTAGTAGGATTTATTTTATTATTCATCAATAATCAAATTCAGAACTTGAATATTCAACTGCAATGTCTGCTCATGAACGCTTCAAACTCGGTACTTCTTTCCCAATTCCATAAAATTCAAAACTTAGAAAGTGACAAAAAACTTTAAAATAGGTAGTTGAAACAGACTACAGCTAATTTTCATAGTGGACTGTACTATACGATAAACATGTCAGTCAATTTGACAACCTTTGTCGGAAACATTATTCAATGAAAATATTGTCCGAACCCTTAGTATTTCTCTTCGACAAATACATTAACACATAGTGAACCACTTTTCTTTCACGACTATAAAAATATTTTAGCAATTTAATTCACAAAATCAATTGCAAACATTTAAAATAAAGTTTGTTTACACTTTGACAACAATAGACTGACATGCAAGGTGACATGTAAATGAAGTTTTCAGTTACTGTTGCCATTAAAAGAAATTAGTACCATTAGTTTTCCGCAACATGGCGAGGGTTTTTATGTTCCTGGTCAGGCTATACAAAGTTTATCAACCTGTGGTATCAATAAAGTTTTTAGCTATTTTGAAGCTAAATTATTTAAAGAAAATTGTATTCCATATTTTTCCCCCTAAATTTAGGGCGAAAATTCAAAGCTGGGAACCCTGATCCGAATTGCACCAAAATCGTTTCTCAATTTTTGATATTATTAAAAAAATATTTAAATTTCGTTACTACATTTATTAAAAATTTATCAGTAATTAAAAAATTACACTGTAATGATGAAAAAAATATTTTTGGGCATAAAAAAGAAAAATTAATAATTATAGGTGTACCAGAATCTCATGGCAAATAGGGAAAATAAACTTTGTTGAGAGCAATACTGGGGAAATTAGAATAAACAATCTTGATACTGTTTAATTTTTTACTTTTATGACTAACATGAAGTACGAATATACATTTTAGGTAGGTATGTGTGTGTATGAAGAATGTTGTTATACATCAGGTTTTTAACATAGGAAAATGTCTTGAAAATTAAATAAATCGTCTGTGAGAAAAGAAATGTCTGAGAAATTAATTATTTAAATTACCTACATATTTTCGCGTGGAACTGAAACATAGGCGGTGCCGTTCTTTTTGTATATGGCCAGGTCTGGGTTATTTAAGAAAAAGGTTACAAAATTTTACTAAGAAAGAATCTTGAGTGACCCGAGCTGAAAAATTAAAAACTGCTAGATTTAAAAAAAATGAACTGGCTGGATCAGGGGTGATTTACTGTTTGTACTCCGAATGACTATGTGAATACACCGATCAAAATGGCGTGAATAGTTATGCGCAACTTTAGGGCCCTGTAACTTATTTATTTGTAGAGATATTTTCATGATTATTTCACAATTATTCTACTTATATTTATTTCAAGTTTATTTCAAAGAAAAAAATTGGAAACTTCTCCATTATTCAATCTTGCTTTATGAAATCTTTTTCAATTTTCTTTACATGGTCATAACATTTTCGACTTTTTCACAAAAATAACAAATACCTAGTCAAGAAGAGAATACAAAAATTTTGCAGTGGCTGACAGATTTCATAATTTTCTTTGACAGGTGACAATTAAACCATAGACAATTGCCATATGAAAAACACACTTTTCCAATATTTTTGTTTGCCATGAGATTCAGTGGGTCTAGACAAAGTGCAAATTATAATCGCAAACCAGTCGAAAAGTGGTCGAAAAGCCCCTTTTTTGTATGGAGTTTTGACGGATTCGATTTAGACAAAACGCACTTTTTGATCGAATCGAAAATCGAATCCGTCAAAACTCCATACAAAAAAGGGGCTTTTCGACCACTTTTCGACTGGTTTGCGATTATAATTTGCACTTTGTCTAGACCCACTGGTACACCTTACCGTCAAAATAACGATGCAAACCACAGATATGGATTAGAGTAGATACAGCAAGTTGATCGTCAAAGCGTGCCATTCCGATATGTCCAAATGGACATACATGGTCGAGTGATGTTCATGTAATCCGATTACAACAATCGGTTACGATGATTTTACGAGGACAGTAGTACGAACACGGTAGAAAGAAGAAATTATTTACGGATTGAGAATTGTAATTAACAGCACAAGTAACAAATTAATTAATTAGAATAAAGTAGCAGTAGAAGAAGTATAAAGTAGCATTGTTTTTAATACATATCCTGCGATGTACTCTTAAGAGTTAAAACCATGGTCCCTGTATGTGGTGCACTCATACCGATCCCAAGGAACCGTACTTCCTCATAACAATAAGACACACACTGATCCATGTATTCATGCACTTGACAAATTTTTGTCTTGAAACGCTAGTAGGGTAAAAAAAATTAACGAGATTGAACGATTTGTAAGAATTAATTTATTTAAAAAGGTAAATAAAGACGTTTTTGGTTTTGTATTTAACAAATTATCAGTTTTATCGGAATTAATTAATTGTCGAATCGAGTCACACGATATCTTTCGATGACTTTGCGAATGCAGTACGATGATACGATTATTTTTACGTTGCGGCAATCACTAAAATTCGCTAAAATGACACTAATGACGTTTAAAAAGTGGCACGCTCGGCTTCATACAAATTTTTTCACATGCTGCATCTATCTATCCTTATCTGTGATGCACATCAAACGTCCGAGGTATTTTCGGACAAAGAACGGGTATTTTCGGACAAAGAACGGCGTTACTGTTGCACAATTTTCAATTCTTGCAACACCGGTAAACGTTCTCATCTGTGGTGCGAACGCGTTGCGCTCGGCGCCGTCTTCGCGATTGTCAAGAAAGTAAAATCGTAAAAAACTAAATGAGTACTGTGTGAATTAGACTGTATTTATTGTCGCCTGTGCTAATTGTTTTGTGGATATTTGAGTGAGCAATTACAGCCGCGCCGCCGGCATCGTGGCACATGAATACAGGTCAGTGCAATGGATGTCATATTTTGTTGTCTGTATTTGGTTGCATGCCGGACTACGTTTTCGGTCTTTCTTCAGTTAAATACAGTTCGTGTTGGTTTACAAGACGGTGTGTGCGACGTTCCCGCGCTGTTTCCACTGTCCCGGTCGAGTTAGCACACTTGTTTTTCAACTATAAATATTCGAGTTGAAAATTGTTTTATTTTGATGAAAGTGCTCGGTTATACTTCTGTAAGTATACTGGCGCCTGGCTGTGTAGCGAAACGTGCTATCGAGGACGTCGGGCGCACAATACCAAAGTAGGAAACCAGTTTTTTGATGCATTTTCGTTGACAAAGCCCTTCAAGGAAGTGATTTTTGCCAAACTGTTGAGTATTGTTGTAGTAAGTAACTAGTAAACATAGTAGATGTCGTGTCCAGTGTAATAAACTTTGATAGCTTATGTCAACATACAATATTATGAGAGAATCATGGTGATCACGGCATTTGTAAACAGTCTGATCCCAGCATTTAACCATAATAATCTTTCACTTCCATTGGTTTACTATATACTTTAAAGCCTTAAAGATACTTACTTTAAGTCTTTAATAACCATAATAATCTTTCACTTCCATTGGTTTACTATATACTTTAAAGCCTTAAAGATACTTACTTTAAGTCTTTAATATTAAATTACAAGTTTATTAATAATGTAGGACAGGACAGGATCTCAGGTTATACTTTAAAAGTAGTTCAGTGGTAAAAAATACCATGCTTAACTGAAAATACCACAATTATCTTAAAACTTTGTAGTTACTTTCTTTTTGTTTTTACAACGACTAAAACTTTCATGAACAAGTTTTATTACAGATTTATGATTTTTCTATGTACTTTATACATAGTTATGGTATCTTTATTACAAATTTTTATTACCAAACAACTAGACTGCAAACTCTTTGTAAACCAATTACAAATAACAAATAGAGCAATTTACAAAAATGTTATGCCCTCAAAAGATGTAAGCAGTTCTCAGAAACTAGTGAGCGTAATATATTCTATTACACTTGACATACTGGGAGTAGAAAGTCAAGTGAAATCTTGTCAATGAAAACATACCACAAGATCACAATGTGCGTGCTATTAAGCATGAAGGTTGTTTCTTAAAATCTATTTTGTACAGTAATTACTTTATTGTAATTAAATGTACACTTACTGAAATTATGTAAAACTTGGTCCTTCAAAAAATAAACTAGCTGACCCAGAAAACATCCTCTTTTCAGACCTACTGAATATACTTATTGGGGGAGGCCTATGTTCAGCAGTGGACGTCCTGTGGCTGATATGATGATGAATATACTTAAGAATGATCAAGCTGTTGCAAGTAACACTCAAGAATTTTATTTTTTAGAAGAATAGTTAAGAGGGTTTTTTATAGATTCCTAGTCAGTTTATAAATCCCTTAGGACCTTCACTACTTCATTGAAATGTAGTAAAATAAAATATTATATTAATGAAAAATCAAAATTGTTCTTGCTTCACGTCAAATACACAATGCAGTTAAATTAAGGACAACAGTCAAGTGCCGATCAATTGGTTGCCAATAAAGACAATGTAGTATTTCGATGCCATAATATTCTCCGAACAGCATTGTAAATTGAGCACATAATCTTAGGAGGCACTTTTATTTTGTTCAAGCTACTGTGGTTTCTTCTCATGTAAATGTTAATATGGCATAGATCAGGGGTGGCCAATCAGTAGTAGATCTTGGGTCTAATCAAGTCTACCATCCCTGGCATAGATAGTTTTTATTACACTTTATCATCGTATTTCTTACCAAAGGTATTTATCTAAACTTCTTAAATACCTTTGTATCAATATTGTCATTATATAAGTGTCATTTTTTTATAGTTACTTTTGTGAAGCCTCAATGTAACCTTGTTGGTGTTCAAATAAATATTAGATTATTTTAGTCTCCTATCCAGGGGCAAAACCATCTAACTTGCCAGAAAAGATTTAGCCTACATTGGTATATGGTTTGGGATGCCTGATATTCGCAAGTTCCCCATAAAAAACTTTCATCCCCTATGACATCTTAGTGGGTCGAAAATCAAATGCGTTGAAACTCCATACCAAAAAATGGCTTTTCGACCATCTTTCGATATAAAATCTGTCACATTTGGCATTTTGTCTAGGGGGGCAGTTGTCTGTGGCATAAAATACACTATTTCCTCTCTCATTCCTATCTACAATTATTAATTTCGCTCGAAAACAACAAACAGACAAGAGTATCTTTTGTATTAGTAATAAGTATAACACTAAAATTAGATATTAATTTTCCGTCTGCGACAAACATTAACGATGACGAACTGCATCGATATGCAATAATAATTTGTTTACAAACGCAGCAGGAATCGAACCTGAAACCCACGCGTGTTCGCCACGTGCTGGGTACTTGTGACACAAGGTAGCAGACGTAAGTAGGTCCCGGCCCTAGACCTAGTTCTATAGTCTGGTCGCCGAGCACGTAGAATTTTGTCCAATGACCCCAAGCTACCCATCCTTATCGCTCGCGCGTAATTATATTGCTGTCGCGCTCGCACACTCACTACTGCCGCCCGTCGCACAGTCGCGACAGCAATATAATTACGCGCGAGCGATAAGGATGGGTAGCTTGGGGTTATTGGACAAAATTCTACGTGCGCTCACAGACCGGGCTTTAGAAGCCTGATCGCTTCATGATCGCGTCATGCGGTGACGGTTACATATAATTTCTTTTCTTTAGTGTCCGATTTAAAGTAGCAAAGTGTAATGCTCAGTCTGCCTACATTGTGGATTCTATGTCAGCGTTGCTAATAATAACGTAATGGGTGTAACATGTCGGTTTTAGACGTATTATTTATAGACATACTCTCTTGAGTCGAGACTATCACGAAAGTTAACCTTTCATTTTTCCCGTGGTACACATGGCGGCACATAAGGCCTGAGTCTGTGATATCTTATACAGTGCTAGTAAGTGCTATCAGAGCTAATATAAGTGTTATTTTGCATCAAAATTTTTGCTCTTTCTGTCTGATTTACTATCTGCAAAGTCTAAAGATTTTATTCAGTACTTAGGTCCTTTCCAGGGCGCTTATACACGTCCCAAATAGCTTGCCCTACCACCACTTCGGGACAACATAATTATGGGCCAGAGAAGAAGTGGCGAAAGAAACTCAGTCACCTTTGTCAGCCTATAGAAGTCCACTGCTGAACGTAGACTTCCACCAATATGCACCATTTCACCTCGTCTTCGGCTTGTCGTATCCTGCTTCTGCCAAAGAACTTATTCAATCCGTCACTCTAACCTAGATGGAGGGTGTCCTACGCTTACCAAGTACCTATCTCTTGTATTTCCGTAATGTAATTTAATACTTTCACGCCTAATTCGCCAAACTAATTTTGAATTACAAAGTTGGACTCTGACAGACTAAAATACTGAGATCCCAATCCCAACTAATATTATAAATGCGAAAGTAACTCTGTCTGTCTGTCTGTCTGTCTGTCTGTCTGTCTGTCTGTTACGCTTTCCCGCTTAAACCTCGCAACCGATTTTGATGAAATTTGGCATAGAGATAGTTTGAGTCCCGGGAAAGAACATAGGATAGTTTTTATCCCGGTTTTTGAAACAGGGACGCGCGCGATAAAGTTTTTCTGTGACAGACAAAATTCCACGCGGGCGAAGCCGCGGGCGGAAAGCTAGTGGGTTATAATGGGTTATGATTTTTTGGATATGAAGACTGCAAAACATTTACAGCAATCAATCCACTCAATGGAATCCGCCTATCGAGCGTATATCGTCGGAATATCAGTTGAAATAGCAATGCGTACGCGCCGATGAAACATCGTCGCGTAGTCGTCACGCGACGTCACACCGACAAAAATAAAGCTGAAATGTGGCGCTGGAGGATTACGCGCTTTCATTGAATGAAATGCCACGGAACGATTGAAATCATTTGATTTGTTCATGCTTCTGCCACTTTGAGGCACTAGCCAATAATGTTGTGGCAGGGCTAGCTATTTTTAAGGCGTGTAAATGCCATGAAAGGAGCCTACATAATTAGAATTTGAAATGCTGAAATGGATGTCATATACATGATTGTCGAAAAAAGAATTGAGAGTAAATGGGTGTCGACTTCTGGAGAATTAAGCTAATTTTTCCATGTATAAAGTCATTCTGATAAAGGTAGCAGGAAGGCGCTGAATGCAGGCCGCTACCAACCGTATGATGTGGAAGTCATTGGGGGAGGCTTATGTGCAGCAGTGGACGTCATGTGGCTGAAATGATGATGATGATGATAAGGTCATGTATTTTCTCAAAATAGGCTTTTAAAAAGCACTCACGTCCCAGTATTAATTTTACCCCACCACTGCTTCGGTTCTAATGGCCCAGTGCTTAGAAACAGCGCAAGAATCTCCATGTAGATCTCGATTCTGCAGATTCCGGGTAACCGTTCGATTATCGCATACATGTGTGCGTGGGTGTGGCCATATCAACGTGTAGGTCAGCGGGCCAGCGATGTATAGACGACAGCTTATCAAGCTAAACTCTGTGACTCTTATACAGTTGTGATAAGAGCGAATTTGTAACAAAAATGTGAAGTCCGATGTGCGATATAGCGTCGCGTGTGGACTCGCGTTATATTTAGATAGTTTTCGGACAGTTACAACGTAATAAAGCCTGTTACGTTGCCTTACGTCAAGAAGGCGTAATAGTATAATTATTCAGGCTTTCTGTCTAAAAGTTCTAGAAGGCTGCGCGGTTCCATGCGGTTTCAGGACTCGTAATTATCGTAATAGTATCGATCCCTTGATCGACTCAATCTCGTATTGCCGTATTTATCATCAAAAATGCGAAAGTTGGATTGTTTACTTACAAACTACAGTCATACTTTCCGATTAGGAGATGTATCTCTCGAAATATGAGTGGGATTCGTATGACTCGTAAGTATGAAAAAATAGCAGCGTTGGGAATTCGTATTTCTGCG